CTGGGCACGTGTTTTAGATGTGGCATATGAGGCAAAAGATGTCATTGATTCAATTATTGTTCGAGATAATGGTCTCTTACATCTTATTTTCTCACTTCCCATTACCATAAAAAGGATCAAGCTTATCAAAGAAGATATCTCCAATTTACATGAGAAGATTCCCGAAAATAGAGGTCTCATCGTTGTGAACTCTTCCAAGAAGCCCATTGAGAGCAAATCATTGACAACTGGTAAAATAATTGTAGGTTTTGAGGAAGAGACAAACTTGATACTTAGAAAGCTCACCAGTCAATCGGCAGCTCTAGATGTCATTTCAATCACTGGTATGCCGGGTTCAGGTAAAACTACTTTGGCGTACAAAGTATACAATGATAAATCAGTTTCTAGCCATTTCAACCTTCGTGCGTGGTGCACGGTCGACCAAGGATATGACGAGAAGAAGTTGTTGGATAAAATTTTCAATCAAGTTAGTGACTCGGATTCAAAATTGAGTGAGACTATTGATGTTGCTGATAAGCTACGGAAACAACTGTATGGAAAGAGGTATCTTATTGTCTTAGATGACGTGTGGGATACTACTACATGGGATGAGTTAACAAGACCTTTTCCCAATGGTACGAAAGGAAGTAGAATTATTTTGACAACTCGAGAAAAGGAAGTGGCTTTGCATGGAAAAGCTCTACACTGCTCCTCTTAATCTTCGATTGCTAAGATCAGAAGAAAGTTGGGAGTTATTAGAGAAAAGGGCATTTGGGAACGAGAGTTGCCCTGATGAACTATTGGATGTTGGTAAAGAAATAGCCGAAAATTGTAAAAGGGCTTCCTTTGGTGGCTGATCTGATTGCTGGAGTCGTTTCAGGAAGGGAAAAGAAAAAGACAGTGTGGCTTGAAGTTCGAAATAATTTGAGTTCCTTTATTTTGAACAGTCAAGTGGAAGTGATGAAGGTTATAGAATTAAGTTATGACCATTTGCCACATCACCTAAAGCCATGCTTTCTTTACCTTGCGAGTTTTCCGAAGGACACTGCAATCATAAGCTCTACGTTGAAAGATTTTTGGCGTGCTGAAGGACTTGTGGAACAGGCAGAGATGAAGAGTGTGGAAGAAGTGATGAAGGTTTATTTGGATAACTTAATTTCCAGTAGCTTGATAATTCTTTTCAATGAGATAGGTGATGACCCGACCTGCCAACTTCATGATCTTGTGCATGACTTTTGTTTGACAAAAGCAAGAGAGGAAAAGTTGTTTGATTTGATAAGTTCAAATGACTTTCCAGATTTGTTGCCGCGTCAAATTACCATTGATGATGAGGAGCACTTTGGGCTTAACAATTTTGTCCTGTTTGATTCAAATAAGAAAAGGCATTCTGGTAAACACCTCTATTCTTTGTGGATAAATGGAGACAAGCTGGATGACACTGTTTCTGATACATTTCACATAAGACACTTGAGGCTTCTTAGAGTGTTGTACCTGCATCCCTCTTTTATCATGGTGAATGATTCTTTGCTGAATGAAATATGCATGTTGAATCGTTTGAGGCTCTTAAGAATTGCGACAAAAGTTAAATATCTACCTTTGTCTTTCTCAAACCTGTGGAATCTAGAAACTCTGTTGTTGGATAACGAAGGATCAACCTTGGTACTATTACCGAGAATTTGGGATCTTGTAAAGTTGCGAGTGCTGTCCGTGAGTGCATGTTCTTTCTTTGATTTGTATGCAGATGAATCAATACTGATAGCAGAGGACACAAAGTTAGAGAAGTTGAGAATGTTAGGGCAACTCATGCTTTCCTATTCGAAAGATACAGAGGATATTTTCAAAAGGCTTCCCAATCTTCAACATCTTGGATTTGATCTCAAGGAATCATGGGATTATTCAACAGAGCAATTTTGGTTCCCGAAATTGGATTCCCTAACTGAACTAGAAGGCCTCACTGTAGGTTTTGAAAGATCAAACACAAATGACAGTGGGTCCTCTGCAGCCATAAATCGGCCGTGGGATTTTCACTTCCCTTCGAGTTTGAAAAGATTGTGGTTGAATGAATTTCCTCTGACATCCGATTCACTATCAATAATAGCGAGACTGCCCAACCTTGAAGAGTTGACCCTTTATCGTACAATCATCCATGGGGAAGAATGGAGCATGGGAGAAGAAGACACCTTTGAGAATCTCAAATGTTTGAAGTTGAATCAAGTGACTCTTTCTAAGTGGGAGGTTGGAGAGGAATCCTTTCCCACGCTTGAGAAATTAAAACTGTCGGGATGTCGTGATCTTGAGGAGATTCCATCTAGTTTTGGGGATATTTATTCATTGAAAATTATCAAACTTGTAAGGACCCCTCAACTTGAAGATTCCGCTCTTAAGATTAAGGAATATGCTGAAGATATGAGGGGAGGGGACGAGCTTCAGGTCGTTGGCTGGAAAAATATCCCGTTATTGAAGTAGCTTTTGAGCATTATGGTTGAAAAGTAGATTGTACTTTGCTGGGTAGATTGAGCATTATGATTACAGTTGTTATGAAACATTTTTTATGCGACTTTTTCTGAGTTTCTTTTAGAAAACTTTTAAGCTTTTAACAAAATTATAATTTGTATAAATACACGTGTCATTTGTTTATTTGTCCATTTGATGACACGTGTCATCCGTGATTGCAAGTCACACATGAGGTATGTTGTATATGGGTGACCACGAAGACACACCGATGTCAAGTATAGGTTTACTTGATCATACGCAACTTTAAGACAAGTGTTTATCTGCCAAATTGAAGTGACCATCTAAAGTTGATATTTTTAAACATTAATCTTGTACTATTCTTATCACTGCTTTCTTTGCTATTTTGGCAGATAGATTCATTGATTTATGCTTTTGCTTTTCTTACAATAGCAGAATTCTGCCACTAGGCATCTCTTATTCTATACTATGCATGTTTTCCATTCTCGTTCTCTCTTTACTTTTTTCTTTGCGTTCGTTCACACACAATAATTTTCAAGTTTATGTCGCAACCTCACATTAATATCAATAATAATTAGATTCACGTGAATTCATAGATTACACTGTGGATTTGCCTATGGCTGTCAAACCTCCTTTGTGTCAAACTTGGTCTGATGTCCCATCTTATGTGCTCAAAGCACGATCGTTTGACCTTAATGAAGGTACTGATTTAAAACGACATTGATACTACTCTGTCACAAACCCAATGAACTTTCAAACAAAAGCTAGGCAGTGAAGTGAAGAGGTTGTAGAGAGCATATAAGCACTCATGACGTCCTCTCCTCGAGCATTCGACCAACTTGGGCTGAAATCCCACTCTGAATGAAAATTAAGTGTTTATTTATCAAACTGACTCGTAGTAGAACACTGATACCTTCTTCTAAACGTTCAACAAATGGGATTTCCAGCACTCATAATGAATGAAAGGTTCGCATTAATCTTCAAAGAGAATTACAACAATACATGACCAGAGAAGTACATGATAGCACCATTTCACCAGAAGAAAAAGTCACTAGAGAAAGTTAAACTGATACATAATGATACAAAATAGGATAAACAGTTGAACATGCCCCCTCCCAACCAAAAATACAATAGTTGTCCTTGCTGATATAGCACAACAACGACAGTTTAAACTCTCATTATTTGTAATTAATTGCTGCCAAGTCACTCAACAAAGGATCAAATCGATGGAACACGAGCTTCACTCCCACCATAACCAGCACTGCAACTACACAAGGCTCAAGCAAGTAAACGCGGGTGAAAGATTAACATAGAACTTATACCTGAAGTCTTCCTAAGAAGAAGCCAGAGAGCAATTCCCGTTGCTATATTGAGTCAATGCTGCATCTTCATCAATAATCCAAACAAAACCAGGAGTGTCGAACCTCCTTCCTGACACTGTCCTGTATATATAAAGTTTCTCAACAGGGCAGCTTTCTGGTCTCGTATCCGGATGACCCCTCTCGTCTATAACTTCAACATTAAGCCCTGGCAACTTCTGGGCTAGCAGCTTACATGCTTCAAAACTTACTGAACAATTAGACATCCAAAGGGATCGCATTGTCTCCAGCTTTGCAGCATTAGCCAACAGAGCCTCATCGCCAAAGGGGCAGTCTCTAATCTCCAACTTACGAAGGCTCTCACAACCAGAGAGAACATAGTGGAGGCCTAGATCGCTATCCCCCGCAAAAGCTAAGGAAAGCATCTCTAACTTCTTAGCATGGACCCCGATGTACTCAAACACACGATCTGTAAGAAGGCCAGAAAGAGAAAGTCGCCGCAATTCCTTGCAGTGTTGCACAATGGCCCCAAAACCAGCATCAAGTGGTTCAAGGGTCACGTAATCAGGAGTTCGAGGCTCAATAATACACAAACGAAATCGGATCATGTTAGGACGATTCCTTGCAATAATAACTAAGGCCTCATTTGTCATTTGGCGGCAGAAGTATAAAACTGACTGAAGCTTAGGGCAGCCCATCGAGACAGCTACAAGGCCTTGCTCTGTCAAGGATACATTCGGTCCTGGAGCAAATGGATCAGAAGGAAACACCCTAAGCTCTTGAAGTTCCTTACAAGTGTTGGCAATCTCCTCAAGACCGCTATCTTCAATGTAATCTAGCACCTGCAAATTGCAATCACATCCATTCTAAGTGCCTTAAGCATAAGCGGGATAACCAATTATGCAACAGAGCCAATGGACAAGAAGAGCTTAAAAACTAATGGAAGCATCTAACTCGGAAAGATAAACATGAATTGTCAAAGTGTAGGATTCGTGCAACACTAAGCTTCAACATTAAGTTATTCTTCATATGGCAGACCAGCAAACTATTCAATGAGTTTACTCGACATTAATTGTTTAGCTATGTTATCTCAGTATACACTGAAGTTTATTACGCTGTTTATATATCCCTGGCAGTAATCAGAATCAGCAAGACAATTAATAAGTTAGGATTATTGTTCTTCTCTTGGAAACTTCTGTGTTTACAACTAACAATCAATTTATCTATTTTATCACAAACACATTCATATATCCCTTCTCAAAAAAAAAAAAAGTTTATGTATCGAGCCATGACTATTGAAAACACGCAATAAGTATACAAAAGTAAAACACAAGCTAGAACCTACCCACAACCGTTGCAAATTGAGACAGTTGCCAATGAGCTTGCCAAGATCAGGTATTTGAATGGTAGCATAGCTTAAATTCAAAGAGGTGAGTTTGGAGTGGACTGGATAAATAGTTGGAAAGTAGGCTGGCACAGCATCCCAAAACCCACTCAAGCCTTTGAGTTGATTACAGCCTGAAAAAGCTTGAGATACATTTACAAAAACTTCAGAAACATCAGCCTGCATGTCAGCAGAGTAGGATCCTGTACCAAATTCAACCAACTTCGAAGCATGACGAAGTAGCTTTGGAAGTTTCTCAATGGAAACAGCACGATTGAGCCGAAGAGTCCTCAAATGAGGAGAACGAGCAACTAGACGCTCCAAAGCTGAGAAGCTGACCTCAGAAGCCAAACAAGCAATGTTAAGTGACACAAGTGATGTGCAGCTATCAGGAAAATGACTAAGCCAATGGCCACTCAGGTCTTCTACTTCACTTTCTCCTAGGTCCAGTTCTCTCAGGTTCCTGCAGCAAATCACGAGTTACATTGCTTCTATAGTTTTTATTCCCAGCGCTAAACAAGAATAGCAGCAAAAGAAGGTCCAAATATAAGAGGAATTGTCATAAATCCATAAGAAAGAGATAAAAATGCAACATTTATTTGATAACCATGTTACAAGATGTTCAACCCTTTCAATAATTCAAATTCATTGAACTACTTATAATATTGAACCAGTAGTTTACACTTTCCGTGCACCATTGCTAATAAAATGCACATATCAAAAGAAAAGTTTAATTAGATTCAGTTCCTGTTTAGTTTCTAAAGGTGGACGAAATTGTGCCCTCTTACGTCCCTTTTGTTTGTTGAAGCCAAGTCATACAAGTATATGCTCTTGCTTCTTTGCCCAGTAAGCGGATCAAAGTACTAAGGCATTTCTTCGCTAGGGCATTCTTGCTACTCTTTCCACCAACTACCGTGAAATACCAAGCAATCAAGCAAAACAAAGGAATGAACTGAAAGACGTAACTAAGGACCCATTTGGCCATAATTATTATTTACTTTTTTCCGGAATAATGTTTCACTTTATTTGAAAACCAGTGTTTGGTCATGAAAAGTTCAAAGCCGACTTGAAGTTGTAAATCAAATTTGGAAAACAACTTATAATATGTTTTCCAACTCGCTTTCAAATGTTGGAATTATAGTTTATTTTCAAATTTTACCCTAATTTTTTGGTTATAACAACCCCAACTTTTATATTAGCGACCAACCAGAGACAGACATCAACAATGTTGCTTCATCTTCTAGGTCAGCTGATCGGGAAACGCATGCTCGACGAGAAGAGATTGTTCACACAATGTGGGAGGAATATCTCAAGGGCTAAAGTACTCAGACGAGAATGCTTCACAAAACCTACTGCTTCCACAAACCCTCAATTACAAACAAGAAACATTCAACCCCAGATGCAAAGATTAGAACTTTTCTCACCAGTAACACTAACGTACTCGGACAACAATGCTCCACAAAACCCACTGCTTCCCCAATGCATCAATTACAAACAAAAACAGTACTCTCAGATGCATAGATTAAAAGTTATCCTAATCAGTAAGGGCTAAAGTACTCGGACAACAATGTTCCACAAAACCTACTATTTCCTCAAATCAGTTAACCCCAGATTAAAACTAATTGAATGAAGTCACCGGTAAGGGCTGAAGTACTCAGACAACAGTGCTCAACAAAACCTTCTAGTATTTCCTCGAAACAGTTACCCCACAGATGCAAAGATTTGAACTCTTTTTCACCAGTAAAGACTAAAGTACTCAAACAACAATGCTCTACAAAACCTACTATTTCCTCCACCCCTAAATTACAAGCAAATACAGTTATTAACCCCAGATGCAAAGATTACAACTTTCCTCAACCCCTCAAATACAAACAAGTACAGTTAACCCCAGATGCAAAGATTAAGACTTCTTTTCACCATTAACAACTAAAGTACTCAGACAGCAATGCTCTACAAAAAAACATACCATTTCCTCAACCCCACACTTACAAACAAATACAGTCAACCCCAGATGCAAAGATTAAAACTTTCCTCACCCCAGTTTCAAACAAGTACAGCTAACCCCAGATGCAAAGGTCAAAGCTTTTTTCACTATTACCAGAAAAGGGTAATTTACAAAGAAAAACACAGCTAAAAAGTGCCAGATAAACCTGCAGTTAGCAGCAATGGCAGCAAGTCCATAGGTAGTAAGTCCTTCACAAGACTGTAAAACCAAGACTTCGAAATTCTTAAATGACTTTGAGATCAGCTTCAATGACTCATGACAAAAAAACCATTCTCTTAAGTCTAAATTTCTCAACCCCTCAATTACAAACAAATACTTAACCCCAGATGCAAAGATTAAAACTTTCATCAACCCCTAAATTACAAACAAGTACAGTAAACCCCAGATGCAAAGATTAAGACTTTTTCCACCAACAAGGACTAAAGTACTCAGACAACAATGTTCTACAAAACATACCATGTCCTCAACCCCGCAATCACAAACGAGTACAGTTAACCCCAGGTGCAAATATTAAGACTTCTTTTCACCATTAACAACTAAAGTACTCAGACAACATGCTCTACAAATCATACCATCTCCTCAGCCCCTCAATTACAAATACAGTTAACCCCAGATGCAAAGATTAAAACTTCCCTCAACCCCTCAGTTACAAACAAGAACAGCTAACCCCAGATGCAAAGAGTAAGACTTCTTTTCACCATTAACAAATAAAGTACTCAGACAACAATACTCTACAAAACATACTATTTCTTCAACCCCACAATACCAAACAAATACAGTTAACCCCAGATGCAAAGATTAAAACCTTCCTCAGCCCCTCAGTTACAAACAAGTATAGTTAACCCCAGATGCAAAGGTTAAGACTTCTTTTCACCATTAACAACTAGAGTACTCAGACAACAATGCTCTAAAAAAAACATACCATTTCCTCAACCACCCTCAGTTACAAACAAATACAGTCAACCCCAGATGCAAAGATTAAAACTTTCCTCAACCCCTCAGTTACAAACAAGCACAGTTAACCCCAGATGTAAAGATTAAGACTTTTTTCACCATCACTCAGAAAAGGGTCATCTACCAAAAAAAAAACAGCTAAAAAATGCTAGATAAACCTGCAGTTAGCAGCAATGGCAGCAAGTCCATCAGTAGTAAATCCTTCACAAGACTGTAAAACCAAGACTCTAAAATTCTTGAACGACTTCGAAATCAGCTCCAATGACTCATCACAAACAACCATTCTCTTAAGCCTAATTTCCTCAAGAAATGGATAAGATTTCGCCATTGAAACAGCCCATGGATAGAAATATGCACCCCAACCTTCAGGTACAAGATCGAAATCAGCAAAATGTGGCTTCCCTTTAATCGTTACAGATCTGAGATCTGGGAAACGTCTAATCAAGATTGAAGGGCTAACAGCATAACAGTTCCCAATGAACACACTTTTCCTACAACACCTCTCAGCTTCATACCAAGATTTACAAACCAAGGATATTGAGTTCCTGTCCTTATCTAAAGTTATGTCGGAGAAGATGTGTTCAAGAACTTCTAAGGGAAGTGAGTTCACCATTACTGTACGGAAATGGGGTGCTAAAGTTGACATTTTTTTTCAAGAATTTCAAGAATCTTTAAATCTTGAGTAATGAAAGTTCAGATCTGTGGAGACTAGAGAGGGAGTGTGTGGGAGCTGAAGAAGAGGAGATGGGGGTGGGTGGGTTGAATTGGGGGTAGGTGGGTTTGAAGACTTGTGAGAGAGGGGGGGGGGGTTCTACTGCAGAGAAGATAAGGTTATACTCTGCTGTGATGTTGGAAAGCAGTGTTGGAGGGTAAGAAGGGGGTGGGGTGAGGTTGAACTTTAACCATGGGTTTGGATGAGTGAAGGAAAAGAGTGGAACACAAGCGGATTCAAAATTTAAATTTTATGTGTTTTTACGATAAACATTTATTGATATAGGTTATGATAATAATAACATCTTTATTGTAATTTTATAAGTGAAATATAAGATAGAAATGTTTTATTTTTGATAGAGCTCGGCTCAAAAAAAAAAAACTATGTTGTCAAAAGCAAGATAAAATGAAAAATAACAAGAGTAAAATAGTTAATTTTGTATGTATTAGCTAGTTATACTATATCAATGTAATTTATCATGATTAAAAGATTAAAATGAATATATACATTAATTAATTTATTATATTCAAATACATATTATACATTTAGTATTAGAGGTAAATAATCGATTATAAATAAGTATTTAGTATGCTTTCACCATAATTTTAAATTAATATTAGAATAATATAAGTAGAAATTGATTCACATTTTAAAATTTATGTATTTCGACTATTACTCGAATGGTATAATATATAATAATAACATATTCAATATAATTTCATAAATTAAATATAAAAATAATATATACGTAATTTTTATTTTAAATTTATACTTATTAAATTGACGTGAATTTATAACTGATCCACTAGGAGGGGAGGCGAGGGAGGGAAAGAGGGGTGGTGGGTAATAAAGTTATGATTTTGATTTGTTGGATGGAATCTAAAGAGAGGAAAAGAGATGATTGGAGACTTGTGAGGGAAGGGAAAGGGAGTGAGAATGACTAATGCAAAAAGGAAATATAATGTTAAAATAATAAGACATTTTAATGTTTGTTATTATATGTTTTGTTTATATTATAGAAAAAAGACAAAATATACTGTCAAACTATCGTAAATAGTATGTAGATATTCTCTATCATACTTTTAGAATATTGATGTCCCCGTCATCCAAAAACTAGAGCATATACCATTTATATTAATAAATATACACATCATAATCTTATCCACTGAGCCGATATTTATTAAATATCGGATCGACAAATTAGATTGTGTCACGCGTCTCTATTTAGTCTTCTGTTAGAATGAAGGACATATATGCTCTAGTTTTTGGACGGAAAGGGCATCAGTGTCCCAAAAGTATGACAGAGGGTATCTGCATATCATTTATGTCAGTTAGAAGGTATATTTATTTCTTTTTCCTATATTATATTATATTATATTTATGTGTCTTATTTTCTTATTTAGTATACTCTATATATACTCTGCTGTGATGTTGGAAAGCAGTGTTGGAGGGTAAGAAGGGGGTGGGGTGAGGTTGAACTTTAACCATGGGTTTGGATGAGTGAAGGAAAAGAGTGGAACACAAGCGGATTCAAAATTTAAATTTTATGTGTTTTTACGATAAACATTTATTGATATAGGTTATGATAATAATAACATCTTTATTGTAATTTTATAAGTGAAATATAAGATAGAAATGTTTTATTTTTGATAGAGCTCGGCTCAAAAAAAAAAAACTATGTTGTCAAAAGCAAGATAAAATGAAAAATAACAAGAGTAAAATAGTTAATTTTGTATGTATTAGCTAGTTATACTATATCAATGTAATTTATCATGATTAAAAGATTAAAATGAATATATACATTAATTAATTTATTATATTCAAATACATATTATACATTTAGTATTAGAGGTAAATAATCGATTATAAATAAGTATTTAGTATGCTTTCACCATGATTTAAAATTAATATTAAAATAATATAAGTAGAAATTGATTCACATTTTAAAATTTATGTATTTTGACTATTACTCGAATGGTATAATATATAATAATCGATTATAAATAAGTATTTAGTATGCTTTCACCATAATTTTAAATTAATATTAGAATAATATAAGTAGAAATTGATTCACATTTTAAAATTTATGTATTTCGACTATTACTCGAATGGTATAATATATAATAATAACATATTCAATATAATTTCATAAATTAAATATAAAAATAATATATACGTAATTTTTATTTTAAATTTATACTTATTAAATTGACGTGAATTTATAACTGATCCACTAGGAGGGGAGGCGAGGGAGGGAAAGAGGGGTGGTGGGTAATAAAGTTATGATTTTGATTTGTTGGATGGAATCTAAAGAGAGGAAAAGAGATGATTGGAGACTTGTGAGGGAAGGGAAAGGGAGTGAGAATGACTAATGCAAAAAGGAAATATAATGTTAAAATAATAAGACATTTTAATGTTTGTTATTATATGTTTTGTTTATATTATAGAAAAAAGACAAAATATACTGTCAAACTATCGTAAATAGTATGTAGATATTCTCTATCATACTTTTAGAATATTGATGTCCCCGTCATCCAAAAACTAGAGCATATACCATTTATATTAATAAATATACACATCATAATCTTATCCACTGAGCCGATATTTATTAAATATCGGATCGACAAATTAGATTGTGTCACGCGTCTCTATTTAGTCTTCTGTTAGAATGAAGGACATATATGCTCTAGTTTTTGGACGGAAAGGGCATCAGTGTCCCAAAAGTATGACAGAGGGTATCTGCATATCATTTATGTCAGTTAGAAGGTATATTTATTTCTTTTTCCTATATTATATTATATTATATTTATGTGTCTTATTTTCTTATTTAGTATACTCTATATTTGATATATTATAAATACATTTAATTTAAGGTCATATGATTAAAAAAAAGAGTTTTATACAATTAGAATTACCAATTAGTTAAAATCGTAAAGCAAATGTTGGATAATTTGTTTGATAACTGATTGGAACTATGCTGATATTAATAATGAGAAATTTGTTATGAGGGGATTCATGTATTATTTTATGTTGGATTTAGTTAATTTACTTTATATCTTATGTAAAATAATACATAGATTCTTTCTTAACTTATATTATTATACATTTATTAGTTATGTGAATTTCTAAATTGTAAACCAAACACTCTATTAATTTTATACATTAACTATCAAATACAGTATTACTTATGTGAAATTTAATACTTATATAACTACTCACTTCTAAACCAACTACCGAACGACTGCTAAATGAAGAAAAACAAAAAGAGGTGGAAATGTGTGGGGTTAAAATATAACCATGGTTAAGATGAGTCAAGTGTTTGGGTTACTTTTTTATGGGGACAATCATGTCATTGTACATGAACGGACACGTGTCCAATGAATGGAACGAGACGAAAAGTGAGAGATTTTGGCTTTTGAAATTTAAGGAATCTAATGATTTAAAAGTAATCAATTGCACATTATAATTTGAAATGATTTAAGATGAACATAATTAAAATATTAATTTGTGTTTAAATTATTATTACTATTACTTGTCTAGAGGGTTAATTTAAGGGGAACTTTCACATATAGCCACTCAAAAATAGCCCAATTACTCTTCATAGCTATAGTTTGATAATTACAATTCGTAGCTACATGTTATGTGGAGGAGAGAGGCGAGCTAGACTGGGAGAGAGAGGAGAGAGGTGAGAGAGAGGGGGCAAAGAGTAGAGAAAAGTGAATTGTATATGTATATAGGTTAGATAATTGTATATTATACATATGCATTTGTATATATGGCAAGCGAGATTAGGAGAGGGAGGAGAGAGGCGAGCGAGATTGGGAGAGGAGGAGAGAGGT